CCGGTGGCGGCTTGCTCCTCTCCTGTGGGCCCAGCCGGAGGGGGAGGGGGCCCTCAGCCCGGCACAGGGCTGCCACACAGGTTGGCCACAGGTTGACTGCATTATTTCAAGGTCATCCGGGCCTTTCCCTGCCTTCAGGGAGGATGTGCCTGAGCCTGGGAAGAGAAATGATCTTCCCAGCGCTGACAATACCCAAATGCCACCTCCCTGCTGGGGACTGTCACCACACATGGCCTCCTTCATTCCCGGTACCACAGGTGAGGGAGGGGGATGCCTGGGATCCCCCAGGCCCCCAGTTAGCCTAGACCAAAGTTGTCTATATTCCTTAGGGTGCAGCCGCAGAGAGATGCCCGTTTTACACCCAACACAGTGTACACACATAATACATCTCTAAAATGAAAACAAGTTTATGGAACAATATTCCCCTTACAGGGTGTGATGTCCTCACCTGATCTGTTCTATTCTATTCTTTTGTTCTGTCCTACTTTATTCTGTTGTGTCCTATTCTATTCTATCCCATTCTATTCTGGGAGACAGAGGAGGAGAGGGGCTGTGGAGGTGGTGGGCTCACCCACAATCACCCCATAAGACCCTTGAAGGGACACAAATTGCAGCTGCCCCGGGTGAGCCCTCCTATGTCTCCCCCGAGGGTCCCGGGGCTCTTGGCAGCAGAGACCATACCCTATTCACCCGGTATCCCCCCTGGCTCTTGGAAGAGACTCCAAATTCGCAGAACCAGCAAACCTTGGAGAACGGCCGTCAGTCCAAGCTGGGAGTGCAGGGGACGAAAGCGCAGCTCCCAGTCTGAGTCTGCTGCATCTTTGTCATTTGCATATTGACTCCCTTCCTCCTGGATTCACTGGCCATGGGCCCTTAGGGGCCTTAGGGACTAAGTCTTAGGTCCTATAGAGGTGACAGCACTCAGGAGACCCCAGAATCTTGGGCTCAGGGTCTGGCAGATCCCATGAGTGAATAAATGAAAGGCCCATTGTCCAAGGGTAGGAGCAGAGGCTTCGGGGTCAGTGCGACCTGAGCACAGTTCTGAGTTTGTCGCGCACTTGCTTAAGCCACTTAGCCTCTGGGAGCACCAGTTTGCTTGTCTATAACAATGGGGATATTAATATCTATTGCAGTTTTGATATAAAGATTAGCAAAAGCGCTTATAAAGTAAAATGGTACATCTTAGGAATTTAATAAATAACACCTGTTATTGTTAATAGTGATTACAATAATACTAAAGGTTTCAGAACAGCTGTGGGTACTCCAAGTATCCTATTATTACTCACATTTGGGGGAGATTTGTTTGCCATTGTCTTCACCCTCATAAATATCTGGAAGAGGAAACAAATTATAAAGGTAATAAATGGCTGTAAAAGGAAACAGAGCATGCACGTGCACGCGCGCACACACACACACACACGAAAAACAAAACCAAACACATAGGTCCTTGAAAAATATTCAATTTGATTACAGCAAAATTTTAAATGATAGTTGCATTCTTGGAAAATGAGCAGAATGGCTCTGGTACCAGTCAAGGTCTAGTGGTGTGTTGGGAAGATATACTTTGAGTCTTGGGGGCACTCCCAGTCCATGTACCAGAATAAACATAAAAATGTTGGTGGAGAAGGATAAGAAGAATGGGAAAGGTGGGCTGTGAAAATTCATGCTAGTAAGAACTGGTGTATATTCTCTTTTCCTTCGGTGGATGATCTTTCTAGCATACATCACATAAATCCTAAATGGCTCTGGGAATTTAGTTTCCAAACTTAGTGTTGGAATTCTGATCTTTCATTTTGGTTTAAAAATTGAATGAAACTTATTAACAAATGAACCCGTGAGTTTTTATCAGGATACATGTTTTTGGTAAATTACCGCCTTTGAAGATAAAATCATGCCTTTCCCGTGCTGTCCACTAGATGGAATAACAGGACCACTGTAGAGCTCACTTGTTCGGAGGCCACCCATTCCTTACCGCTCAGATTTCAAATGGGCAAACTATTTTTATTTTTCTTTCAAACTAGACTTTTCTCTATTCCTTACAATATGCAAAACTTTAAAAAAGATTTATTATTTTTTGAGAGAGAGAGGGCGTGGGCTCGCGCGCACAAGCCGGGGGAGCGGGGGGTGCAGTGGGGTGGAGACATGCCTTTAAATTATGGGTAAGCCTTTCCTTTCCTTCCCTGGAGGAACAAATGTGGGTAACTAGCTGCTAATGATAATATGCAAACAGCCATCTAGGCACTAGTCTGAAAGCTTCATCTCATTTAATTCTCATCGTGAGGGGTCCCACCACTGCATCCTTATCGTGAGGGGTCCCACCACTCCATCCTCATCGTGAGGGGTCCCAACACTGCATCCACTAGACATACAGGCAAAAAAAGCAGTTGCCACGCTGGAGGAAGCAATTGATCCTAGTCCTCATGAGGAGCTTAGGCTGTTACCTAACAGCGTCAGAGAGGAATGTGCCCGGGTGCTCAGGTGACCCACTGGGACATCCCCCAACACCTCCACACCCAGCTGTAACTGTAAATGGGCAAGTAAAAGAAGTAGCCAGACAAGAGTCCGGGACACCCGCTGGGCACACCACCAGCAGAAGATGAGAAGGAGGGGTATCTAGAATGAGTGGGAGAGAGATGGTAACAACGGTACAACCTAAAAACCAATTGCAGCAGCAGGGGGCATAGATTCAAGTTAAGTAGGACTCTTACTATGTCCCCTGGTGGAAACTCCCCCCTTGGGAACCAAGACCTCTAGACTCAGACTAACGAACGTTGCAGGGATGGGGAAGACAAATGTCCTATGCAAGTCACTAGAGCATGATAATGAATAAGGTCACAACTCATTCAACCTCTTGCCTCCCAGATTCATATATTCTGCTTACTGAGGGCACAGTGCCATGACATGGCATTGGTTTAAGGTATATACTGCATCCTGAAGGCTAGCACCCCACCCCACAGTGCCATGTCTAAACTGTTGCACATCTCGTTTTCAAGAGGCTATTCCATGGCTTTATCAGGCCGGCAGCTTCTAAATGGGGTGGTGTGTGGTAGGACTGTAGGTCAGTCCTGCGGTCATACGCCGACGGCCAAGTCTCTCCATTAAAGCAATGCTTTATGGTTGATCAGATGCTACATGAGTCCTCGAACAGTGGAGGCACTGTGAGCAGGAAAGGCACACATGTCAATCCTGCTCAGAGTGAATTACTGTACTTTCCAGCCTGGAGGGGGTCTGATGACATCGACCGTTCTCCTCAAGGGATACTATCCAACTGGGAGCTCAGCATCCATCTGTACCGGCCAGTTGACTGTCAGCAGTGACAGAAGCTATGTCGGTCTTGACAACAGGAAGCCCACACTGCTGGGCCCATGCATAGCCTCCCACTCTGCTGTGAAGGTGTCTCTTATGAGCCCACTGTGCAGGCACTGGGGTACCAAGGAAAAAGCCAGCTGACACCTGCTGGCCAAGTCATCCAGTTGGTTTAGCTGTTAGGCACCTTTTCTGCAATGGATGTTCTCTGATGGGCGTGAACACGGTACGAAGATCCTCACATTTTGAACTTAAGTCTCTAGGTCTCTGTGCCTCTTCCCCAGTCAGATCATTGTTATATTTAGATGGTAATTATTATTCTGGAAGGAAGGTGGGGACACATCCTGAGAAGGGCAAGCATTGTCATGTACATCTCATTTGCGGCTTCTGCATAATTTTGGGGGGAGAAGAGTCTCTCTCCCAACAAGGGGGGGGGTAGGCCACTTACACCAGCCCAGGGGCATTAAGGGCCTAGACCTAGATGTCCTCATCTCAAGCTTCACGGTCCCACATCTTCCCTATCAGGGCATGAACTGCCAGCTCTTCTACTAGCACTAGGAGCCCCAAATGATCAGGCAGCACATTTGCCTAGGCTGAGAATTCATCCTCTCACATAGTGCCATGCTGTAGAAGATGAGGGGCTGAACACTGGCAAGGAAGCCCTCTGAGTCTCACATGAGGCTTTAAATTGGTGGTTAACCTGAGGCTGTCACTTTCTTCACTCTCTTCAGCGCATCCATGGTGCTTAGCAATAGCCTCCCAATTCTGTGGTCCTGATACTTCATATTTTCCCCAAACTTCTCAAATCCTAGAGACGTTGCACCAACTGGTGCATCCCTGTCCCCCTGTGTCTGACCCCAGGTGTCACCACAGGTGAAGATCTTAGCAACTGAACTGCTACCACAAACCAGGGCCCAGGGCTTTCCACACGCCACCTAACCAGCAGCAACGGACTCCTCGTTGCCACTGGCCAGCAAGTGACCTAATAACACCAGAATCCCATCCTTTCTAGGACCTTTCTTGGTACTGTCTTGGGTCAAGTTTCCCAGAAGCAGGTTGCACAAGCGAGCGGTGGAGAAAGGGCTTTCAGAGGAAACCTGTAAGAGCACTGAGGACAGAAGACAGGGCAGGGAAGAAGTGGGCTCTGCTCAAGTCTAGTGCCAGCCTGATCTCCTGGGAAACCCTGGACCATAGATGGTACCACAGGTGTCCCGTTTTGTACCCCGAATCAGTCAGCCATTGGCTGGCTGGCCATAAGCTGCCCTTGAGGGAGGCCATAACCTCTCAGGCATTTCCTGGCTGGACAGCTCTGGTCAGCTGAGGGCACTCCTCCGAAGGGCACAACCGAGAGCTGTTAGCAGCTAACCTCATAGCAGCTGGGCAGTGGGTGCACGCACCTGATAAAAACGATGTAGGCAAGGTGTCTAAAGCCCCTGTGACACTACCGTGTGTGATTTTTTTAATTAAAAAATGAACAGATTTTATTTTTAGAGCAGTTTTAGGTTTACAGAAAAATTGAGCAGAAAATACTGAGTTCCCATATAGCCCCTCTCCATTGGCTCCCTACACAATATCTCCTATTATTAACATCTTGCATTAGTGTGGTACGTTCCTTACAGTGAACCAGTACTGATGCATTATTATTAACTGAAGTCCATAGTTTACATCAGGGTTTACTCTTTGTGTTGGACAGTTCTGTGGGTTTTGACAAGTGCACAATGTCCTATATCCACCATTACGATATCATACAGAATAGTTTCACTGCCCTAAAAATCTCTTGTGTGCAGTCTGCTCATCCCCTCTTCCCCATATCCCTGGTAACCACTGATCTTTCTACTGTCTCTATAGTTTTGTCTTCTCCAGAGTGTCAAACAGTTGGAATCATGCAGTATGTATTTTCAGACAGGATTCTTTCGTTTAGCAATTTGTCACTTTGGTTTCCTTATGTCTTTTTGTGGCTTGATAGCTCATTTCTTTTTATTCCTGAGTAATATCCCATCGTATGGATATATCATAGTTTGCAATTCATTTGGGTAAATACTAGGGAATATGATTGCTGGTCTGTATGGTAAAACAAGTTTTAGCTTTTGTAAGAAACTATCAAACGATACCATTTTGCATGGCCACCAGCAGTGAATGAGAGTTCCTGTTGCTTCCTGTCATCACCAGCATTTGGTGCTGTCAGTGCACAATATACTACTTTTCACAGTGTAACTCTTGAGTTTTGCTTCTTGTTTTTGGGTCTTTTTTGCTTTGTTTTGAGGTGTCAGCCAATCTTCTGAAGAGCTAACTGGTTTTTGTGAAACTAACTCGTGAAAAAGTCGTAAGTTCACATGGACATCAGTTTTTCCCTTGTATCTTTCTGACTTCTGGAACCAGCCTGCTTTCCTAGCACTGAAGTGCATACATGCACGCACCAGATAACACCAGATATAAACATAAACAGTCTACAGCCAAGTCTAGACTAAGACACACTTAACTAAATGTTACCCATTCTTCTGCTCATCTCACACCTTTGAGTCTGATCACTTTGAATTAGCAGGATAGACAGAAGGGGAAAAAAGAAGGGCACCTGCACAATCCACATCCTTATGCTTTGGGTGAAGGAGTTATAACTCTATCAAATGGCTCATGTCTGTAAATTTATAGATTATGCCACCGTGTTGACCAATGTATGCCAATGTCTTCAAGCAAAGGGGCTTTTAAAGATCTGTTTAAGAGATTCTTGGCACATGAAAAAAGGCGTTAAAGGCTTCAAGAATAAAATATACTTTAGGACCAGATAAGGTTGATAGGCTCAATTTTCTAATAGTCCTTGAAAATCTGAAGAGTTGCCTGTTAAATAAATAACCTGGAATGGAATTCTCAACACACATTTTACTCATCTGTAGGGCCCCAGCTGAAAGGGCGTCCAATATCAGGGGTCTTCCTTCATTTTGAGCTTTTCAAAGTAGAAAAGGAAGCCAGGATGTGACTTGATTAGAGACAATATTGCGGGATAAAGCCAATTATTTAGGAAATAAAAATCTGATTTTATCTTTTCTTTAAAAAGTTTTTTTACAAGCCATTACAAAATACCCATGGAAAACAAAACATAAAAATTTCACACCTCCTAGAGATTCTGCTATATCCCATAGAGGGATAGGCCTTATCATGCAAAGCAAATTTAGGGACTATATTATAGTCTATGAACTTTCACCAGCCAAGATTTTTCTCAAGCCTCACTTTTCCTGGTCTGTATTTTCCAAATACAAAATTTTAGAACACACATATATACCCTAATTGAAGATCACTGTTTTATTTTTATTTATTTATTTATTTTAGAGAGGGGAGGGGCAGAGGGAGAGAATCCCAAGCAGACTCCACACCCAGCATGGAGCCCAATGCAGGGCTCGATCTCATAACCCTGAGATTATGACCTGAACCGAAATCAAGAGTCAGAAACTTAACTGACTAAGCCACCCAGGTGCCCTGACAATCACTGCTTTATTAAATGGCATTGCCATTAATATTTGTTGACCAAGACTGCACATCCAATTACTTATTATGTGACCATCTTCCTGTTAATTTGCCATTTCATGCTCATTAGCATCCAAACGTCTGGAAGTCTGACCAAGAAACATAAGTTAGCTTTGCCCCTGAGTGGGGGTGTGGGATCTGTGTATGTTTCTTCAATGACTTTTGTACTTTGTAGACACTCAATAAATGTGTTTTGAACTAAAATTCCTTCCAGAGGCCTTTTCTAAATAAATCGTAGGCCTGAATACCTACCTCATGTCCCATCAAATTAATTACATAATAGTCCAACACCAAAATCTCAAATACTGAATTCCCAAGACTTTGATTATGGGCAGTGGTAAAAGCATAAAGTAGAAGGTCTTTTGGAAAAGGTTATCTCCAATTTAAACAGGCAGGGAAAGACAAGATGACGACAAAAGGAGCACATTTGGAACCCCATAAACCATAACCTATTATGTCATTAAAATATAAAGTAAAAAAAGCTTCCACACTTGTTTTTCTTTGTGATCCCATACCAAATTCTGGCCACCAGAAAACTGACCCACGAAGAAGTCAGGGCTGAAGTCTTATGGGGAGGCACCTGGATCAAGTGCTCCTAGTATTTCCATGGGAAGTTTGGAGAGGAGGTGAAATCCATAAATCTTGGATAGAGCAAGAAATAAAGTTGCCACAAGCTGGTGTTTTTATTCCCAAGCACAGACATTCTGGCAATGCTCTTATCCCACAACCATTTCCTTAAGAGGACAGCTTTTCCAAAGAGGGAGTCACTTTCAATGTGAAACATTTGCCTTTCATTTTAATTCAAGCCTAGTTAAATCTACACAAATGAATAGCAGAAAACTGATATTATATCTTTCTTCTCGCTCACATAATTCAGGAAAGGCTGAGACTAAGGCAATGTCTTCTCTAGCTTCTCAGCAGCTGGTATCACCCATTGGTATCCCACTCTCCCACTGGATCCTACCTTTAATCCCATGTATGCTGGGGACTGGGTCTTCCTTACTGCTGGTAGCTCTTTCCATATTTTCAATCCAGGGTACAAATTCCACTCCAATGTCTTTGCTTTAGAGAAATATACATGAACATTGAACCATAGGAAAGAATGGCACATGCATTCCTCCCTATACCAGGTGGAGTAGTGCTGGCTCACCCAGGTTCTCCTGAAGTCTCAAGGACCTGCTTTATCTTCCTCCTTCACTTTAGTCTAAGACCTGGCCCGGCTCTGTGCATGATATTCAACAAGGAAATGTTCAGTGGACACCATTTGCTGAATTACACAGTTAACATCTAACTGGCTGCAAGTCTTTTTTTTTTTTTTCCTTAAAATTTTATTCTTAGGTAATCTGTACATCCAATGTGGGGCTTGAACTCACAACCCTGAGGTCAAGAGTTGTGTGTTCTACTGACTGAGCCAGCCAGGCGCCCCGGGGTACAAGTCTTAAAGTGGGAGAGGTGTGGAAGAGGAATGCCCTTTCATCCTCTCATAAGCTGTTTCATTGGCTCATTCTAGCTCCCGCCTTCCCTCTTCCCTGTCCTGAAATGCCAACTATTAATAGTAACTCTTTTGGGTTAGTCTAGTTCAACAAATAAACACTTGCTAGGCGCTGGAGGTCTGAGATGAATGAGATGTGTCCTGAGCTAAACCTCAGCACCCCTGACTCTGCTTGCAGAGTAGTTTGCCAGCCTGATGTGATTATTCAATGAGTTCTTTTATTTGTTTATTCACTAAACATTTACTGAACACCTATGAGTGCCAGGCCCTTGTCTAATATGAGGCCCAAAGGAAGCTAAAACCACTAAGACAACTTTCATGCTCTAGAGGAATTCATGGTCTAGTGGGGAGAAAAATGTAAACACATCATAAAATTATAATATAGCCTGTTAGATGCTGTGATAGAGTACTCTGCAGAGTGTGAGTGCCTTGCCCAGAGCGTACAAGGTTATTATGCTCAGCAATCCCAAGGGTTAAAGGTGGTATAGGAATGGACTGGGATGATAATCTGGTATGTGTCAGAGCTTTGAAAAATGCTAGACAGACATAAGGTCCTGATATTCCTGATCCTGAAACCTCCTTCCCCCGTTGCCTGATGCTTCTATGTTCTGTCTGGGAAGTCTCACCTCCTCTCAGGGACCAGCCCAAGGCCCTGCTCTGGTCTGCTGCCTAAAATTTGTGTGAAATTGACCCTCTGTTTGCCAGTCTGTAAAAGGAAGGTGCTGGACAATGCCTCTGGGCCTGTCTTTGAGTTCAGTAGGGCTTTTCTTTTTATCTACAAGCTAGGATCTGTTTCTGCTTATTTTTTTGTACTTTTCAATCCAGTGACTCACTTATTTTCTAACTGGAAGTTTGCACCTCTTAATCCCCTTCACCTATAATCCCCATTTCCCACCCCCCACACCCTGGCAACCACTAGTTTGTTCTCTATATTTATCAGTTATTTCATTTTTGTTATTTTTGATTGGTTCGTTGCTTTTTTAGATTCCATATGTAAGTGAAATAATAGAATATTTGTCTTTCTTTGACTTATTTCACTCAGCATAATACCCTCTAGGTCCATCCCATGTTGTTGCAAATGGCCAGACTTCATTCTTTTTTATGGCTAAGTAGTATTCCATTGTATTCATATACCACATCTTCTTTATTTACTCAACTATCTATGGACACTTAGGTTGCTTTCATATCTTGGCTATTATAAATAATGCTACATTAAACATAAGGGTGCATATATCTTTTTGAATTAGTGTTTTCATTTTCTTTGGGTAAATACCCAGAAGTGGAATTACTGGATAGTATGGCACTTTTATTTTTAGTTTTTTGAGGAATCTCTGTACTGTTTTCCATAATGGCTGCACCAGTTAATATCCCCACTATGCTCAAGGGTTCCCTTTTCTCCACGTTCTCGGCAACATTTGTTATCTCTTGTCTTTTTGATGCTAGCCATTCTGACTGGCGTGAGGTGGTATCTCATTGTGGTATTGACTTGCATTTCCCTGATGATCAGTGATGTTGAGCATCTTTTCATGTGTCTGTTGGCCATCTGTATGTCTTCTTTGGAAAAATGTCTGTTCGGGTCCTCTGTTCATTTTTTAATCAGATTGGGGTTTTTTGGCATTGAGCTGTATGAGTTCTTTATATATTTTGGATAGTAATGCTTTATTGGATATATCATTTGCAAATGTTTTCTCCCATTCAATAGGTTGCCTTTTTTGGTTTGCTGATGGCTTCCTTCGCTGTGTAAAACCTTTTTAGTTTGATGTAGTCCCAATAGTTTATATTTTTGCTCTTGCTTCCTTTGCCTGGGGAGACCTGCCCAGAAAAATATTGCTAAGGCTGATTTCCAAGAGATTACTGCCTATGTTATCTTTTAGGAATTTTGTGGTTTTGGGTCTTATACTTAAGTCTTTAATCCACTTTGAATTTATTATGTGTATGGTATAAGAAAGTGGTCCAGTTTCATTCTTTTGCATGTAGCTGTCCAATTTTCCCAACAACATTTATGGAAGGTACTGTCTTTTCCCCATTATGTATTCTTGCCTCCTTTGTTATAGATTAATTAACTATATAAGCATGGATTTATTTCTGGGCTATCAATCGTGTTCCATTGATCTGTGTCTATTTTGTGCCAGTACCTTATTGTTTTGATTACTATAGCTTTGTAGTAAATCTTGAAATCTGGAATTGTGATAGCTCCAACTTTGTTCTTTTTTCTCAGTATTGCTTTGGCTATTTGGGGGCCTTTTGTGGTTCAATACAAATTTTAGGATCATTTGTTCTAGTTCTGTGAAAAATGCTATTGATATTTTGATAGGGATTGCATTAAATCTATAGGTTGGTTTGGGTAGTATGGACATTTTAACAATATTTGTTCTTCCAATCCATAAACTTCATATATTTTTCCATTTATTTGTGTCATCTCTGATTTCTTTCATCAATGTCTTACAATTTTCAAAGTACAGGTCTTTCATCTCTGGTTAAATTTATCCCTAGATATTACATTCTTTTTGATGCAATTGTAAATGGAACTATTTTCTTAATTTCTCTTTTTGCTAGTAGTGTATAGAAACACAACAGATTTCTGTATGTTGATTTTGTATCCTGCAACTTTACTGAATTCATTTATTAGTTCTAATAGTTTTTTGGGGGGGGGGGTGGAGTCTTTAGAGTTTCCTATATATAGTATCATGTCATCTGCAAATAGTGAAAATTTTACTTCTTGCTTGCCAAATTGAATGCCTTTAATTTCTTTTTCTTGCCTGATGACTAGGAACTCCAGTATTATGTTGATTAAGAGTGGTGAGAGTGGACATCCTTGTCTTTTTCCTGATCTTAGAGGAAAAGCTCTCAGTTTTTCACTGTTGAGTATGAGGTTAACTGTGGGTTTTTCATATATGGCCTTTATTATGTTGAAGTATGTTTCCTCTAAGTATACTTTGTTGAGAGATTTTTATCATAAATGGATGTTGAATATTGTCAAATGTTTTTTCTGCATCTATTGAGATGACTGTATGATGTTTATCCTTCATTTTGTTAATATGATGTATCACATTGATTTGCATATATTAAACCATCTTTGTATCCCTGGAATAAATTCCACTTGATTGTGATGAATGACCCTTTTAATGTATTTTTGAATTCAGTTTGCTAATATTTTGTTGAGGATTTTTGCATCTATGCTCATCAGGGATATTGGTTTGTAATTTTCTTTTTTTATAGTATCTTTGGGTTTGGTATCAGAGTAATACTGGCCTCATAGCATGAATTTGGAAGCATTCCTTCCTCTTCTGTTTTTTGGAATAGTTTGAGAAGAATAGGTGTTAGCTCTTTTTTAAATGTTTGGTAGAATTCACCTGTGAAGGCGTCTGGTCCTGGACTTTTGTTTTTTGGGAGTTTTTTTAAGTACTGATTCAATTTTTTACTAGTAATTGGTCTGTTCAGAAATTCTATTTCTTCCTGATTCAGCCTTGGAAGATAGTACGTTTCTAGGAATTTATCCATTTCTTCTAGGTTGTCCAATTTGTTGGCATATAATTTTTCATAATTTTTATAATCCTTTGTATTTCTCTGGTGTCACTTGTAACTTCTCTTTCATTTCTGATTTTATTGAAGTCCTCTCTCTTTTTCTCTTGATGAGCCTAGCTAAAGGTTTATCAGTTTTGTTTAACTTTTCAAAGAGCCAACTCTTAGTTTTACTGATCCTTTCTATTTTTTTAGTCTCTATTTCATTTATTTCCAGTCTGATCTGTATTACCTCCTTCCTTCTACTAACTTTAGGTTTTATTTTATTTTTCTAGTTCCTTTTTTTTAAAGATTTTATTTATTCATTTAGAGAGACAGCACATGCATGCACAAGTGGGAGCAGGAGCAGAGGAGGAGGAAGAGGGACAAGCAGACTCTGTATTGAGTATGGAGCCCCACACAGGGCTCAATCTCATGACCCTGAGATCATGACCTGAGCTGAAACCAAGAGTGGGATGCTTAACCAACTGAGCCACCCAGGTGCCCTCTAGTTCCTTTATGTGTGAGGTTAAATTGTTCATTTGAGATTTTTCTTCTTTCTTGAGGTACATCTGTATCACTATAAACTTCTCTCTTAAAAGAGCTTTAGCTGTGTTGCAAAGATTTTGAACTGTAATGTTTCCATTTTCATTTGCCTGCAGGTATTTTTTTCATTTTCACTATGACTTCTCCATTGACCCATTGGTTGTTTATAGAAAAATGTTGTTTAGCTTCCATGTTTTTGTGTTTCTTCTAGTTTTTTCCTGAAACTGACTTTTAAAGATTTTTATTTATTTATTTATTTATTTATTTATTTATTTTAAGATTTTATTTATTTATTTGACAGAGACAGAGATAGCGAGAGCAGG